ATGATAAACAGTACACAGGAGCAACCTTCCTGGACGCAATGAGAGGCTATGGATACACTGCTGCAATGACGAGAGTAATCTCTTCGTACTTACAGTAAACAACCCGCAAATAGCGTTAGACGACATCCAAGAATGGAGTATAAAATGGAAAATCGCCTTAAACTCCGAAAAAACGCAAGCAGTACTCTTTAAAAAGAGAATGCAACAACCAGAGGACCAATGACTGTGCAAAACAACCCCATCGAATGGCGAAGCAAAAAGCATTGCATTTTGTCGTAGGTTATGTTCATTATTTGTTTATGTTTTTCTTGTAAGAATTATTGATGTTTTAATTAATTTAAAAGGGTCATTTTGCTGTGTAAACAGCCTTAATTGGTTTGTGTGTTTCCTATCCATACAATTAAAGTCAATTATGTGATTACAACATTATTTCTTGTTTTTGTGCAGTTTTAAAATTATAAACTATAATGTCAAGCACATGTGATAGATGCAATAAATCATGCATTTTTAAGGAAAGTCTTCCATCGATGTCTTTGGTTTTCCTTGTGATTATTGCAAGTTGATATTGTGTAGTAAAATTGTTGCTGCATTGTTCCATGTTTCCGGTATGCAACAATCTGTTAGACAAAGGTTAAACAAAATTTTTATTTCGTTGGGAAGAGCACATTCGCCCATTTTTATAACTTCTCTTACGACTCCATCTTATCCTGGTGCTTTGTTGTTTTTCATCTTTTTCATTGCGTTTTGGATTTCGCTTAGTGTGATCTCTGGCATGAGCTCTGAATCCTGGTTGATGATTTTGCGTGATGCGGCGGCTTCCAAGTTCGTTCACTTGTATATAGTTCTTGATAGAAGTCTTCAGCTATGTGTAGTAGTTTTTCTCTTCTCAGGATTTTCAGACTTTTATTCTCTTCTATAGTTCGGTGGACCTTTTCATTCTTAAATTTTCTTTCCGTATAGCTTTTGATACTTCTTTATTTATTTTTCGTAGTTTTTCTTCGTCAATGTTTTCGTTTCCTTTGATTTCTCTTCTAGTTTTCATTAGTTGCTTCATTTCAATGGTTATTTTTGGTCTTACGATATTTTCGTTTAGGGTATTATAGGTATAGGTACATTATTTATGCATTCATTTTGTAGGATTTTATTGATATTGTCTTGGTATTCATTTAAATTCGTTGGGTCGTTCCATATCGGGTTAATTTTTTCCTAATTATTTGGGATCTTTGTTATTAAGTCTAATTTTAGTTTGGCTCTTATCATTCTATGATCGCTGCCTGTTGTAAAGCTATTATGGACTGTGACATCGTTGAATATATGTTTTTGTCACTGATTATGTAGTCTAATACAAATTACACAAATGATTATCCCGCTAATAACCTTAGTAGTTGTAGCTGACAATTGGAATAAAAAAAATTACCATATTTTGGCAAGGTCTGTATTATTTCGTTCCACCCACACGAGGCTAAGTAATATACCTGCCACTGAAGTACATATTAAAATTTATTAATATTGTCACATAAAAACGTGTTTAAAATTTATTAAAACATCGGTAGCGAACAATCCATGCTAAAACCCGAGGATTTTTTAAACAATTAGTTAATAAATTATATAATGAGCAGTAATGATCCGGTATGTGTTTCTAAATTTAAGAATTTAACGATAATGTTTTTGATCATATCCGTAAAGCTGTAACACCTTCAAGGTTAAGACTGATTTTAATCTTTGCTGACCTCTTCTGTGTTTTAGGAATATTTTTATGTTTATTGGTGCTATAAATATATACATTGAACAAATATGGATATATTCGTAATAGCAATAGAAATAAATAATATACATTTTTTTGCTTTATTTAAAATATTTCGCGGAAAATTTGAAGGACATCATAATCATTCAGAAAATACAAATCGTAGATTCCAATGTTTAACAAAGGCCATCGTTGTCTCGTCCACAGTTCTCTATAGAGAGTTGTAGTCATCAACCTCGCTCCAGCATGATTCTTGTGAACGTCATTCTATCTTATCTGGGGTTTCTTCACATTCCCCTCGAGTAATATCATAATATGACTATTTGACAAGATGAGAACTGCAAATTTCCATTTAAGTTTTACTAATTTCTAGGTTGTCTGCAATAAGAACGATATCATCTGCAAATTTAAGGTTATGCGTTCTTATTGCAGACAGCTTTGATCAGGCACAGATAATGCTCCAAGAACTCCATACTGCCACAAAAAGAGTTGGTCTTAAAATAAATTTTTCAAAAACACAATTTATGACAAATTTAGTTCACAACAAAAACATCTCAGTAGAAGACAAAGATATTGAGCCAGTTGACTCCTATAAATACTTAGGCCATGAGATCAGAATAAGTCGAGACAACCAAACAATCGAGCTGAAAAGAAGAATAAACCTCGCTTGGGCTGCATTTGGAAGGATGAAGGATATTTTTAGGTCTAAGATTCCAATGTGTCTGAAAAGAAAAGTATTTAATCAATGTATTTTGCCAGTGATGACCTACGGCGCAGAAACCCTAACGCTCACAAGAACAACAGTGAGTAAACTACAAGTTGCGGAAAGAGCAATGGAGAGAATTATGTTAGGGATTTCTCTACGTGATAGAATACCCAATGCTACTATACGCAAAAGATCAGGAGTAGCAGACGTTATTGAAAGGATAACAACACTAAAGTGGAACTGGGCAGGTCATGTAGCAAGATCAGTTGATGACCGGTGGACAAAAAGAATTTTGGAATGGCGACCCCGAATACAAGCTTACAGAAATAGAGGTCGACCCCCAACGAGATGGACATATGACATAAAAAGAGTGACTACAAATTGGATTCAGATGGCGCAAAATCGGACTAAGTGGAAAAGCATGCGAGAGGCCTATGTTCAGCAGTGGACGTTAGAGGCTAGTTGATGATGATGATGATGAATTTCTAGGTTAAGGTGCGTATAGATACGCTCGTCGTGTGTGCGCCGCGCTTTCGTGGCACGTTCAATGTTCGTTGAAATTTTTCATTTTGTCGAACTTTCTACGATCCAAAGAAAACTTAACCCTCTAGCCGGTAAATGTTCTTTCAAGAACTCGTCTTTGGAAAGCTAAAAAACCTATACCTCAATATTATTATCATTTAAACCGGCTTCTGTTCCGTCCGTCAACAGGTGTTTAACATTTGTTGAAAAGATTAATGTAATCCAAAATTTGGTTTTTACGCTGTTATCAGTATTGTTTCGAAAAGTCAGTTTGTGTGTGTGTGTTTTATTGGCACTGGTTTTGACAACCAACTGGCCAGTCAATTTATTTTAAGTTCTCTCTTTACAAAAGATATTGTTAGTATTTACATTTAAAACTATAAATTGTATTGTATTGACAGTTAAGACATGGAATGTTAAAAACTTATTTACTAGATTACTCTGTTTTTGCTGTTTTGTTTTTTGTATCTTTTTTTTATTTTTTATTTTTTTTATAAACGCATCGATAATAATTATTTGTCGAAACGACCACGTGTTATATAAAATATAATTTAAAAAGCTGTGCATTCACGTTCCGACTTGTGGTCCCACTTAGTAGGACTACTAGTTGGATATTCGTCTCCAATCACGTTCCGACTTGCTATCCAACTAGCGGTCCAACTTCAGTTCTAGTTTGTTTTCACGACTATTTGACAAAAGAAAATGGCAGCATTGTGCTTGTTATCCTGTGAACTATTGTGACACGAAATTGCTCAATGTCATTGATGGGGATGATTACAAAAACTACCTCAGAATGGATAACTTCACTCTTTTGCTATTGCTGGAAAAAGTTGGTCTACTCATTTCCAAAAAAGATACCGTCATGCATGAATCTGTCAATTTAACTTCGAAGTGGTTAAAGAATTTAATTATCTAGGAGCAACAATCACAAATGACAACAAATTAGAGCGAGAAGTTGAAACGAGAATAATGGCAGGAAACAGATCTTTCTTTGTAATGCAACATCTAATGAAGTCAAAACTTCTTTCACGGGGTACAAAAATCCGGATATATAAGACCATAATACGACCAGCAGTCGCCTATGGAATCGAAACATGGACGCTAATAAAAAGAGAAGTAAATAAATTGCTGGTGTGGGAATGTAAAATTCTTCGACTGATATATGGCCCTTGCAGAGACAGCGTGACAAACGAATGGAGGGGCAGATACAATAACGAGCTAGAGTCTCTAATCGGAAAAAAAATCTAATCAGATATATAAAGGCCAATGGACTCAGATGGGCAGGGCATGTGATAAGCAGTAACGACAATCGCCTTATAAACAATGTTTTCTGGGAAAGGCCAGATGGAAGAAGGTCTGTAGGGCGACCTAGAAAAAGGTGGAAAGATGCAGTCAAATAAGATCTAGAGAAAATGGGAGTGCGACAATGGGAATTACTGGCACAGGACCGACCAACATGGAAGGCAATAGTACACGCGGCCAAGACTCACGAAGAATTGTAGCGCCATTGATGATGATGAATGTGTCAGTACTGAATAATGCCTCGTAGCAACTTTATGCTTTCTGGCCACTGGTGATACCAGAAACTTGCAGGGCTATAATAATTTTTCGTGCAATTGAAAGTTATTTTCTATTATTTATTTGCGAACTAGGGATCTTTGCTCAGCGATGTCGGACAGACAGCACCAACGATGAGATCTCGAGATGGATTTCGTACGTTTAATTTATTTATTCACAATGAATCAAATTAATATCTTAAAAAACTTTTTTTGAGGTTTTTCATTAGAAAAAAAACTACCAATTAAAGAACTCGGTCGACCTTTACCCGATTTAAAAATTGAAAAACAAAGTGGAACTGGACAAAATCTTCGCTGTCGTAGGGTTAATAAAACTATTAATGATAAAAGTAGTTAGTTGTGTGGTTGCGAACAAACTAATAAACCGTTTTGTTTTGTATGCATTCTGTTTGGAGGTGACGAGACTTGGTCAAACAAAGACACCGATGATCTTGTTCATATATGGGAGAAAATGAAATCCCATGAAAAATCTAAAGTGCACATGAATAATGTTTTTAGCTTTTCAATGCTTGGTAAGTTAAATATAAAAACCCAATTAAATTCAGCTTATCGTGATACTCTAATTAAATACAATGAACATGTGGATAATCGATATGTCTTAAATCAAATCATAAATTGTATAAGGTTTTGTGGAGCTTTTGAGTTAGCTCTTAGAGGTCACGACGAAACCAAAAATTCAGAACACAGAGGCATATTTAAGGAGCTGGTCAATTTTAGCGCCGGATTGGACAACGACTTAAAAGTTTCTATTCAAAGTTCCAAATAATTTAAAGGCACCTCAAAAACAACCCAAAATGAACTCCTTGAGTGCATGTTGGATGTTTACCATGAGGAAATTAAGAAAGGAATTGAAAATTTTCCTTATGTTGCAGTGATTGCCGATGAAATGACAGATGTTGCTGGTGAATTCAGTTAGTTATAGTTTTCCGATATTTGTGTAAAGGACGATCAGTTGAGAGATTTTGGAGATTTTATGTGCTAGACGGAATGATGTAAGTCCATCGCTAAATGCATTTTAAATGTTTTAAATCCTTTATTAAAACATACTCGGAACAAATTAATTGCTCAAAGTTATGATGGCGCATCTGTTATGACAGATGGATTAAATGATGTGAAAATAATTATTAAGAAGACATATCCTCTTGCAAACTACCTTCATTATTATGCACACCGAATGAATTTAATTATGATAAGTGCATGTTCTATCAATAAGCAGGCTAGGATACATTTTTCTAATTTATCTGATTTGTGCTCATTCGTCTCCTTATAGAACAAAAATTTTGGATGAAGTGGTTAATCGCAGGTTGCCAAAATCTTCAAAAGCTGCCATAAACATTTTCGCCATATACATTTTGTATTGTAATTTTTAATAAAATAAAGCCTCACGTTGACATTATTTTTCATTAATTGCAAAAAGTATGCACTGATTCTGATAAAATGAAAAAAGATTTAGAGAATTTTGAAGTAGCAATTCAAGGTATAATGGAGCAAATTGACGTATTTATTGATAACATTCAAGAACAAATAAAGACGTCAGTATTAATTGATAACATTCAAGAAGAAATAAAGACGTCACAGAGACAAACGGAAAATGATACCCAATAAAAAAAGGCGCGAATTGAAGAGGACCCAGCAGGTTTAGCTTCTCCGGACATTTAGTTGTTTCTAATTTATTTTAGTCGGAGAAGTTTTCTGCTTATCAGCATCAGTTCCCCGAATCAGTTCTTAACGAAACATGCAGACAATTTTTGACTTAAAACTGAATTACAAGTACTCTATCAACGAGACGAATTAAGTACTATCTCTGGGACTGTTCCGCTATCAGTTTTATTAAATGATGAATATTTAAAATGAACATTTGAAGAAAACATTAAACTTTTAAGTGCATTAATTACCATTCTTATGCCAACATCTGAAGCAGAACGTTGTTTTTCGATGCTAAAACGAATTAAATAAAACATTCCTTAGAAATATCATGAAGGAAGAACGACTTAGTGCTGAAGGTATGCTATCTTAAAAAAAACATTTTGTAAATGGCATTGATAATTTTAATAATAAAGTTAATAAAAACTTTGCAACCAAAAAACAAGAAGGATGGACTTCATATATCGGAAACTTTAAAACAACTTTGTGCGTATGTGAAAATACTGGAATAGTGTTAATTTTATAATTAATTTATTTACGATCTGGATCTGGAAGATCTGGAAGATCTGGATAAAAAGTACGATAGCGTTAATTTACACAAAAAAATCAAAGAAATGACAGGTTCTAGAAAGCGTACAAAAACGAATATCCTTAAAAATGATAAAGGGGATATTATTACTGATATGAAGGAGAGATTATGTCACTGGACCAATTACATTCAACAACTATTTAATGATGAAAGAGAAGAACTGTCATTAGAAATCACCGAGGATACTAGACCACCAATATTAAGAGAAGAAGTCATCTATGCCATCAAAAACACAAAAGAGGGTAAAGCTACTGGATCAGATGAGGTGCCCATCGAATTATTAAAACTCATCGATGAAGATGTTATTGATGTAATGGTTGAACTCTTTAATCTAATATATCAGACTGCCACAATCCCCAGACAATGGCTGCAATCAACCTTTGTAGCAATTCCCAAAAAACCAAGTTCAACAACTTGCTCAGACCACAGAAACATAGCTTTAATGAGTCACACACTTAAAACATTTTTGAAAATAATTCACAGCAGAATTGTTAAAACTCTTGAATATGAGATTAGTGACACACAATTTGGCTTTAGAAATGGTATGAGTACAAGAGATGCTTTGTTCGGCTTGAATGTGCTGGCTCAGAGATGCATGGACATGAATCAGGATATGTACTTATGTTTTGTAGACTTTGAAAAGGCATTTGATAAAGTTCAACATAAAAAGCTTGTAGATATATTAAAAAGCAAAAATATTGACAGTCGTGATCTGAAAATTATATCTAATTTATATTGGAATCAAACTGCCAAGGTAAGAGTTGACAGCCAGTACACCGAAAATATCAAAATACAGAGAGGAGTCCGCCAGGGTTTCGTGCTGTCCCCACTAATTTTCAATGTCTACAGTGAAGCGGTATTTCGAGAAGCGCTCTCAGACTCAATAGAAGGTATATCTATCAATGGAGAACTTTTGAATAACTTACGTTTTGCAGACGATACAGTAATAATTACGGATAACAACAATGATTTACAGAACCTAATGCAACGCCTTAATGAACGCTGTCATGAGTACGGACTGAAGATAAATTTAAAGAAAACTAAATGCATGATCATGACTAAATCTGCACATGCAAATATCCAATTGACTATTGAAGATACTGCAATTGAGAATGTTAATAACTATAAATATTTAGGAACATGGATAACATCAGATGTAGACCAAACCAAAGAAATTAAGACACGTATTGAAATAGCACGTACATCATTTATTAAACTTAAAAAGTTTGTTTGTTGTCGGGATATAAGGTTAGAACTACGCCTGAGAATGCTTCGATGTTACGTGTTCTCTACTCTTCTTTATGGTCTGGAAGCTTGGACACTAAAACAAGTTCATCTGAATAAGCTGGCCGCCTTTGAATTTTGGTGTTACAGAAGAATCCTACGAATATCATGGATTCAAAGAATGTCAAACATGGAAGTAACTAGAAGGATAGGAAATGAGGCGGAAATAATATTAACTATTAAAAGACGAAAACTTGAGTACTTGGTGATGAGAGGGCAAAAATACGCATTATTACAACTTATTATGCAGGGCAAAATCCGAGGAAAGCGAAATGTGGGAAGACGAAGAATATCCTGGCTTAAGAACTTAAGGGAATGGTTTGAATGCAGTAGTGCAGAACTTTTTAGAGCGGCAATCAACAGAGTCCGCATAGCCATGATGATTTCCGACCTTCGATAGAAGATGGAACTTAAAGAAGAAGAAAGTAGATACGCATATAAGATAAAAGTATCTGCGCCTATTTTTTTAAATTTCTATTTTCAACATTTTTGACAATATCATGAACCCGTCCCTAAAAATTTAGGCAGTTGCCCGAATGCAGGTACTACCTTCTTAATGTGATAAGTCTGTAACACCCTTTTACGGGAATATCCAAGGACAAATTTATAGAAGAGACAAGTCAAAAAAACCATGTATCCCCAATCTCATAAATTATTGTTGATAGTACGATTTTAAAGATTTAATTTTTTTACCATGGGAAAAACCTAATTATTAAGATAATCATGGAAAAGCCCATGAGCCTTGTTACGATTTTTAGACTACAATGCTATCTAAAAACAGCCAAAAAACAATAATAATCTTTAATACTAATCTGGGCATTTCTATTTATTAAGTTCCCATTGCTGATTCATTTATACGTTACAAGTTCACAAGCTCAGTGTCAAGAGTAATTTAAAAGGTTGGGGAAAGCCGCCATTGCCGTACCATCGCATTCCTAGTCAACTGATCGTTACACAACCATTAATTGTTTCAATGGAAAGTAGAAATTTCATCTGAATTCATGTTTGTTTGGGAAATTCCGTCGACTCGGTGTTGTACCACCGCAGACCGTGAATTTTTTCTTCGATACAGACGTTGACATTGATATTCTGAGTACCACTAGGATGTACGATTAGTCCACAGGTAATTGTTTACATATTTTCATAATAACGCAATGAAAATTTTAGTACAATGTTTGTTTTTAACTATAATAAATAAATACGGGTTTTTTACTTTTCTTAATTACAGTAGAAATCAGCAATAAATCATTCAGGAACTGTTATTAAAAGTTATATAATTTTAACAATACATCACGATGACAGCAAATATGCAGAATTTGGCTTATGAGTAAGAAACAAGATATTAGATAACAAAAGATAAAATAAAACTAGCTTATAACACATGGGACACAATTAAAAACTTCAAATATTTGTAAGAATAAAAATAAATAATGTCTTATTTGTCAATTTCTGTCTTTCTCCATTATATATTATACATGGTCCTGATAAAACCAACAAAACCCTTATTATGACATCTAACGATTACGATAATAAAATGAACGGTCTTTTAAAAGACGAAACCATCATAAACTTAGAAATGATGATACTAATATTTTCCAAAAAAGAAATAATGAGCTTATTGACATATGGGACAAAAATGGTTATATATCATTTAATACAGCAAAATTACTTAAGCTACACAACGCTATACCACCAAAAATTTATGGTTTACCCAAAACACACAAGGATTACAGGATCCAACTTTTAAATACATTTTGGAGACTGCTATCGCCGTATTCCCATTCTCCTCCGCCAATCCTCCCGGTCCAAGGCATGTTCCTCCTCCAAACCTCTCGATTCCATCGCTCTTCTAATTCCTTCATTCCATGAGCGTCAAGGTCTACCTCTTTTTCTTCTTTCGGAGGGCTTCCATCTGTGAAGTTTTTGGGGTCAACGTTCATCAAGCATTCTCAATAGGTGTTCAAACCATTTTAAACGCCTTCTTTCTATGCTGTCAACGACCGTTTCTGTAGCATTCATGTTGTTTCTTATAGATTCGTTGCTCTTTCTTTCCAGCTTTCATGATCTAGCACTTTTCAAATAATCCATTTCAACTGCCAACAATCTTTTCTTCAGGCTCAAGCGCAGTCTATTCCGGATTAAAGAAGGAGATAAGTAACAGAGTGATCAGAGTTGAAGGTGAACACACTGACTATGTGAAAATCATGCGTGGAGTGAGGCAAGGCTGTATTTTGTCTCCTCTAATCTTT